ACGGTAGCATGCACCTGTATCCTGACACTTGGGAGGCTGAGGTAGACAGATGGCTGCAGATTCAAGGCCAGTTCTAGGCCAACTACATGGTGAGGTGGAGTCCTGTGGCAGGTATCATCGGCAACACTCCCTAACAATACTGTCCCAGGAGGAACTCAGCTGTGTCCCATTCAGCCCTGTAAGCTTCTCTCTGGCTTTCTGTAGTGTGGTTTTGAAGTATATTTGGCTCTCACTGCTGTGTTTTAAAGCCGAGATTAATGTTCTCAGATAGGCCTGCCAGCAGCCAGCTAATGGAGGGAGACTCTAACGTGACCCAAGGCATGAATACTTATGGGATAACTTGCTATTTTGATATCTTTAAACTTGCTTAAAATTATTTTCATTTTACAGCAATTATTTTTCTGATTATATTGTTTATAAGAAGTGATAAACTTTAGATCATTTTAGTAGCAAATTGTCTAACAACTGAAAACTCCCATTTTTTGATGAAATCCAAAAATTAAAAATTATATATTTGAGTCTGGGCAGAGGTGGTGCATATCTTTAATCCCAGCACTCAGGAAGCAGAGGCAGGTGGATCTCTGTGAGTTCAAACTCAGCCTGGTCTACAGAGCTAGTTCCAGGACAGCCAGGGCTACGCAGAGAAACCAAAGGGGGTAAAAAAGAAGTTAAAAGTCTCTTAGTGCTGGAAAGATGGCCCAGTGGTTCAGAGCACTGGCTGCTCTTCCAGAGGTCCTGGGTTCAGTTCCCAGCACCACATGGTGGCTCCCAACTACTCGTCACTTCAGTTCCAGGGAACCTTGTGTCATCTTCCAGCCTCTGTGAGCACCTGCACACACACACATGCACACACACACGCATGCATTCACACACACGCACGCATTCTCACACACACGCATTCTCGCACACACACATTCTCATATACACGCATTCTAGCACACACGCGTATTCTTGCGTGCACGCGCGCGCGCGCGCGCGCACACACACACACACACACACACACACACAGAAATTAAAATGAAAATACAGTGTCTGACTCCACAAGGCTTGCAGTCTGGTTTTATCATCTTTGCCATCCGCTCCGCACAGTGTGTCTTAACCACTGTCCTTGGCAGCCACCCCAGTCCTGGCACCCTAATGTTCTCCACTACACTGAGGATGCTCCTCACCGGTGGGCTCTCCTGGCCTTTCTGTCCCTGCCACATGGCACCACGCTTCATCCACTCTGAGTCCTGAAGTCTTGCATTGTCCGTGCTTTCCAAACCTGTACTTAGTGGAGCTCTTACAAATTGCTAAGTTTGGCCGCCAATTGAGACACAGTATCTGCCGCTTGGACTAGAGCTTCTGTGTGCTGACCCTGAACAGATGCTTCCTGCTTCTTCCATGGGACATGCTTCACAGCTGATTCTCAGCCCTGTGTCTCACAGAGGCCCCATCCCAAGTCTGACCCTCATAGCCCAGGCCGTCGTCGTCTGCATTTCTCCTAGAATTCTTATCTTCCTTGCCCACGATGTGGCAATATGTTCTTATGAAGCTCTGAGCACCCGGCAGCTCTTTAGTCCACAGTTGAGGGTCTACATTCTTCCTGAAACTGAGTGCTCAGGTTCACCATGGCAACACCCCACTTCTCTGGTTGCTGGGATGAAGTAATCAGAGTGAAAGCAGCTCAGGGAAGGGAAAGGGTTCTGTCGGCCCACAGGTCACAGCCCACCACTGAAGGAAGCCCCAGCAGGAGTATGAGCAAGGACTTGAAACAAACCGTGGAGGACACTGCTTGTTGGAATGTTTGCTGGCTCGTGCTTAGCTTGCTTTTGAATACATTCCAGAACAGTCCGCTGGGCCTTCCTGTACCAGTCAGACAGCATGCAAGACAGTCCCACACAGATCACAGCTCTGTCCACAGGTCAGTCTTGAACCCTCCATTGAGACGCTAGTCTCCGGTGACTGGCTGAGTGAGGTTGACAGTTAAATCTGGCGGGGATACCTCTCTGCTGTGGACATGAGAACTAGACCTCCAACTGTGCTGTGTGCCTGTTCACCTGCTACGATCCTCTCTTACCAGTTTCTGCCGACTGCTTTCTACTCCCCAGTTCTGGCTTATTTTATTAACGTAATTCTTTCCATTTCTATCCACACGCTGCAGATGACACAGTCAACACTGTAGTTTGTTAATTCAGGGTTGTTCTCTAGTAAGTGGTACACAGGCATAAAATATGAAAACCTCTGTCTATTCTGTCTTTTAAATTTTAGTCCCGCCTTTCATGTTTAAACATCCATTTACCCAAAATGTACACAAAACACAGTACTTGCATGACAGCTTTTGTTAGTCTTTTGTTTACTTCTTTACCAAAGACCGCAGCTTTAGGCCCTTGTTCTCTAGGACTCACCAAGACCTGCTATCTCAGAATGTTTGCCAACAACCTCAGTTCAAATGAGAGTTTAAAAGCAATGGTAATGTGCAGTGACATTTTAACACAGCCACTTACCTCGAATTGGAGGACCCACAGCTATGTGCAGTGGTTCATTTTATTTTTAACTGTAACAGGGACAAATAAGAGACCCAGAGATTGATATTGGAGTTCACACTTGAAGCTGAATATCAAAAGAGCAAAGCAGCCAGCCACTAGCTCTCGCCTCTAGCTCGGGTCAAAAGGGTCGATCCACACAGGAGCTCTTCCCCAAGCCTCAGACTGCCGCCTCTCCTCAGTGTGGCTGGAGAACGGAGGCCTCTCTGAGGCCTTGATTCTGTCTTACATACTTCCCTAATGTTGGGATCAAAGGTGTGAGCTATGATTCTCTTTTAGACGGATTCAATCTTGTGTAGATCTGGGTGGTCTTGGACTCACAGAGATCCATCTACCTCTTAATTCTGAATCCTGGGATTAAAGGTGTGTGCCTGGCTTCTGGCTGCTGGGATTAGAGGTGTGTGCCTGGCTTCTATGGATTGTAGCTGATTTTGCTTTCTGAACCCTCAGGCAAGCTTTAATAAATCATAAATAATATATCAATACATTTAACTTTTCACTCTTAAAATTTCAATGTGTGGTTGCAATGTGTGTGTACAAATGTATACTTGCACATGTGTGCATGCAATGCATGTATGCCATAGCACATGTATGGAGGTCAGTGGACAACTGGGGAGTTGGCTCTTCTGTCATGTGGGTCCCAGAGAATAAACTTAGGTAGTAAGGCTTGGCAGCAAGAGATTTACCCACTGAGCTGTATTTGAAGTGGGTAACCCTCAGAGTCCTATAGTTAGGTACCAAACTTTCTTAGTAGCTCCTTAACTTATACCCAACATTATGGAAACTAAGATCACACTAAATAGTTCTCAGCAAATCTTTCATATTTATTTTTGATAAAATATAATCTGAATGGCAACTGAAAAGTAAGATGTTTTCTCTATAAGACAGTTCACTAGTATTTCTGGGTTCCTTTTATTCATTCATACACTTAAGTGCCTTTCAAAAGTATTTAAAGGTGCTTGTTTCCTCTTAAAAGTGTGATTGTTGGAGCTTACAAGATAGCTTCAGTGGCTAGAACTGAGTTCAGTTCCCAGCACCCACATTGGGCAACTCAGAGCTACCTGTAACTCCAGCTCCAAGACAGCCAGTACCCCTTTCTAGATTCTAGACAGCCAGGGCCCTTTTCTAGATTCTAGACAGCCAGGGCCCTTTTCTAGATTCTGAAGGGCACTGGCATTCACATGTACAGACAATATACATATATACACAATTAGAAAATCTTTCAAAATATGACTATTTTGTTTATTTTGGAACAATTACCATATAATCAAAGGATGGTTAGTTACCACACAGGGAAATGGCCATTGAATGCTTTCCCCAAATTGTTCTTCCAGAAGGTTTTATAAGATGGCTTTCTAAAGTAAGTATTGAACTTCCTACTAGATGAAGTCATTATCTATTCTTAAGGTGGAAAAAACAGAGGTCTAGGAGTCACTAACAACTCTTAGGAATGGTGGAAGAAATAATCAGCATATGAAAATGCTTTTTTAAGTTTTCATTAACTCACTAAACAAATGCTAGGTTTAAACTGTGTGATAAATGCTGTCCTCAGCAAGGATGAGAGTATGGGCAAAGCAGTCTTCCTGGGGAAACCTGCCCAGTGACCTCAACACAGACATAGGAGCAGAGAGACAGCCACACCCTTGTTGCCAAGGATCTGGGTTCCCACCTGCCCCACACTTCTCCCAGATAGCATGAATTTGGACAACTCAGAGAACTAGTTTGCCTTGGAGCACAAGCAGAATATTAACAGATGTTATATTGCCATCATTTAAATAAGGTTTCATAGGAATCGTTTTCTGAAGGGGTTAAAACAGGGTCTTGTTAGTGCAGCATTGTTGAACTGACGATTCTCCTGCCTTGGCCTTCCAAGTACTAGAAGTTTAGGCATTCTGTGGCTGTTTCATGTCATGGGAATCTCAGGATTCCTGGAACCCTGTCTACTTCCGTCACCTACGCTGCATTTTCCTCCAGAGACGCAGTTCTTTCTCATCACTGGTTCTGAGTGCAGCTGCCCCTTTCCTGTGTCCCTGCACTGGCCTGCTTTGCCTGTCTTTGGAAGGACAGCAGACCTGCTAGGTCTCACCAGTGGGGAGTCTCCATTTCCATGCACTGGAGGGAGATGTCAGTCTTGCAGTTTGTGAGCAGAGGCCATGTTGAAGTGTACCCTTTGGATTAGATAATCAGTGTTTGCTTCCAATCCTTGGAACACCATGGAACTCACTTAGCTTCTCCATCTTCCATTTTGTCATGTAATGTTTACAATGACAACTTGGTGAGTCTGCTTCATACACTGGCATGTTGTACATCCTTCAGCTTAGCCAGATCTCAAACACTGAACCCTTAACATTAGTGAGACTCTAAGGGACTAGTCCCTTAAACAGAGGCTCCACCACATGGTAAGATCTGAGGTAAGCATGAGACAGAGTTCAGGTTATAACTTTTTTTAAGACGAATGCTCTCTGTGGTTTCTAGGAAGAACATCTTCTTTTCCAACTTGAAGAAGGAATAGAAGCTTTGGAAGCTGCGATTGAATTCAAGAACGAAGCCATCCGGAGTCGCCAGAACTCACTCAGAGCATCATTCCAGAGTCTCTCTCAGAGTGAAGCAAATGTTTTGGGAAAACTAGTTTGCCTGAATCTTACTGAGATTAGAGCTATTCTTTTCAAATATTTCAATAAGGTATATTTCCAAGGAACAACACTTTAATTACAAGAAGGGTCAAGGCTGAAAGATTTGGTGGTCTAACCAAATTGAAGCACTGTTTTTCTTTATGGTACTGTTATCAGAAAGTTTTGTGAATTATCCAAATAAGCCTGACTTTATGAGGTGGTTAAAGCTGAAGGTTCCCTTGATAGGAGATCTTATTTTAGACAGTAATTTAATTTATACCCTCCCTTATTAGTTCTTGAGTCTAAATTTAAATGCTATTCATGAAAAGTCTAGGAGCAAATTTTCTTTCCCCATTGCTGTGGATAGACTCAGCTTGTGCATTTCTCATAGTAAGCTGCAAGACAGCGAGAACTACATAGTGAGTGAGACCCTGTTTCCAAAAAAAAAAAAAGTGAGTGAAAATAGTGAGCACAGGCTCTTGAGGTGTGTGTAAGGAAGGAGTCAGGGGTCAGTAGCAATTTCTGATGAGCCCAGATTTTGCTGGCACGTGGCCTATGCTGGGAGACAGAGTCGCTGATGGCACTCAGAGGGCTGTAGCCAAAGCCACTGTGTGGAGGTTGTCTGCACAGACACTGTCCACAGCAATCTGCTTCCTACAGCACAGCAGACCTCGACAGACACACACATGGCCTCAGTGAAACCTCTGTGTCAAAATATTCTTTAACTTAAAACAGGGTATCCATGTGGTTGAGAGAAACAGAGTTACAGGTTATAGCCAGGCATGGTAGCACATGTCTATACATTCCTAGCACTTAAGAGTCAAGTTCAAGGCCAGCAGGGCTATATAGTAAAAACCATGTCTCCAAAAGATAAAGCAAGCAAGCAAGAGAATCATAAAATCTGAACTACAGAGATCTTACCTAAGAAGTTTTAGAGGGGTAAATCAGTGCAATCTTGTATTGAAATTGAAAATGGTGGTCCCCCGCTCCCGGGAGATCACCATATTGATGCCAAACTTAATGTGGACACCAATCAGCATAGCACACTATAGCCCAGAACTCCTGTACTCAAGCGATCCTTCTGATGTCTCAGCCTCCCGAGTAGCTGGAACTACAGGCATGCACCACTGCGCCCAGCTAGCTCAGTTGGTAGAGCATGAAACTCTTAATCTCAGGGTCGTGGGTTTAAGCCCCACGTTGGGTGCCATATGTTACGAGTAGTTTTTCCCCTGCTGGTCTGTCTGGTCCCACCACCACGCCAGCCCCAATAACACACAGAGACGCTGTATTAGATATAATGCTGTTGGCCAGGTACTAGTTTCTTATTGGCTAGCTCTGCCTTAAGTATTAACCCATTTCTATTAATCTAAGTATTTCCACGTGGTCTCATCTTACCAGAGAGTGGGGCCGGCATCTGCTCTCTCCAGTCTCCCCATGCTGACTCCTCCCTACTACTTCCTCGAATCTTCCTCATCTCCTAGTCCCGCCTATCTTGCTTTCCTATCGGCCAACAGTGCTTTATTCATTAACCAGTATGAGAAACATTTACAGAATGACATCTCCCATCATCTCCTCTTTTCTGTCTAAATAAAAAGAAGGGGTTTAACCTTAACATAGCAAAATATATCACACAACAGTTATCAAATAAGAATCACAGTTAACAATATTTAGTCCATTAACATTTAGTAAGATTTAAGAAAATATTCCATCATCTATTCTATCTTTGTGAGTATAAAGTCCTAAATGTAACTTATCTTTAAGTCTAACTAAGGAAAACTATAACCATAACTATCTGTCTTCAACTCCATCAAAGACCACAGAAGGATAGTATATAAACTCTAGAAATGACAGACATCTTGCCTTTTCAGTCACCTGAAGTTCTTCTGTAATCTTCCATCTTCAGCCTATAGGCCATAGTGTGTTTGGCAGACTCTTCAGCAAAGCAGGAAACTTTAAACTGTATTCTTGTATTGGCAGTTTGTCAGTCAATTTTCTCTGTGTCCTGCAGAATGTCTGGCAGACTCTCCCATGAAGCAGGAACCCTGTAGCAATATCCATCTTGAATCAGCAGTCACTTTCCTGTGGGTCCCACCTTTAATCCTAGTACTTGGAAGACAGAGGCAAGCAGATCTCTGTGATTGCAAAGTAAACCTGGTATGCAGAGTGAATTCCAGGCCAGATAAAAGTTACACAGAGAAACCCTGTCTCAAAAAATGAAAAAATAAAAAGTAAAAGAAACAGAGTAATAAAAAAGCCACATAAAGATGGAGAGAATCTGGATACTGTACGGTTTTATATATATATTGTCTTTGTATCGTTTGACTGCTGAGGAAATAACTGTTAAAACAAATGCTGCTGGATCAATCCAATTTATATATTTTAAAAATGCTTTGACTTCAAAATTTAAGTCTTAAGAGCAGATTACTGGGGAAAAGGATTTCTAATTTTGTTTCCACAGAAAATGAAAAGCTGTGGATTCCTTCCAGATTATTGTGGTTTGATCAAGCAAGACCCCCTGAAACAGCATCCCAGGTGATCCAACGTTCAAAACAGTTGGGACAAGGCATCTTCTTAGAATCCCCATGACAGCGCCCCCTACCAGCAGGAAGTAGTTTGGAAAGAACGACACCCAAATTCCCAAATATTGTTTATAAATGTTTGTTTTTACTTAAGTGGGCTTGGTTATAAATTGTTAATGACCACAACCAAATCTTTTTAAAGGTAAGAAGGGGATTATGGTATAGATATGAATACTTTGTTTTGGAATGGATTTTCATTTATTGATACAAATTTAATGTCAATTTTGTGATATGTATATTTCTCCTCTTATTTAGATATTGTGTTTTTATAGCTCACTTAGAAACGTAATGTATAATTTAGTACAGATAGTTACCTATAATAGTCAAAACTTAAGTTAGGTTTTACCTATAATAGTCAAAACTTATAGTTAGGTGAGTTAGGTTTTCTAGATATACAGAGATGTATTTGAGATAAATAGGCATTCTTCAAACCTTTCAAAGACCTACAGAATATGGCATTTAAGATGGTTTAGGGTTTTTCTTAACAGTGAGACTTAACTGCTCCTGGCAACACCTCCTGCATCAGAAAGAAGGATGGACATTGAAGAAACTCATTATGGAGTTTACTTCCAATATGGCAAGACTAGCCATTTGGACAAGATACTGCTCTTGTCTGGACTGTTTGCCTTCATGATGTATAAACTGGATATGCAGGACCCACAGGAAAGTGACTGCTGATTCAAGATGGACATTGCTACAGAGTTCCTGCTTCATGGGAGAGTCTGCCAGACATTCTGCAGGACACAGAGAAAATTGACTGACAAACTGCCAATACAAGAAGACAGTTTAAAGTTTCCTGCTTTGCTGAAGAGTCTGCCAAACACACTATGGCCTATAGGCTGAAGATGGAAGATTACAGAAGAACTTCAGGTGACTGAAAAGGCAAGATGTCTGTCATTTCTAGAGTTTATATACTATCCTTCTGTGGTCTTTGATGGAGTTGAAGACAGATAGTTATGGTTATAGTTTTCCTTAGTTAGACTTAAAGATAAGTTACATTTAGGACTTTATACTCACAAAGATAGAATAGATGATGGAATATTTTCTTAAATCTTACTAAATGTTAATGGACTAAATATTGTTAACTGTGATTCTTATTTGATAACTGTTGTGTGATATATTTTGCTATGTTAAGGTTAAAACCTTTCTTTTTATTTAGACAGAAAAGAGGAGATGATGGGAGATGTCATTCTGTAAGTATGTTTCTCATACTGGTTAATGAATAAAGCACTGTTGGCCGATAGGAAAGCAAGATAGGCGGGACTAGGAGATGAGGAGGATTCGAGGAAGTAGTAAGGAGGAGTCAGCATGTAGAGACTGGAGAGAGCAGATGCCAGCCCCACTCTCTGGTAAGATGAGACCACATGGAAATACTTAGATTAATAGAAATGGGTTAATACTTAGGCAGAGCTAGCCGATAAGAAACAAGTACCTGGCCAACAGCATTATATCTAATACAGCGTCTCTGTGTTATTGGGGCTGGAGTGGTGGTGGGTGGGACCAGACGGGGAAAAACTGCTCATAACATGAAAATATTACCAATTCAGAACTCCATCAAATTCAAAAGGTTAGGGTACCTTTTACATTTATGTCTTAAAGCATGCGCCTAGGCATCCAACACCTTTTAAGGCGCTGAAGATGCTGCCGAGGTTAAGTAGCTTCATCCTCATATACAAGAAAACTGGACTGGTCTGTTATGTTAGGCTATGTAAAGTATACTTAAAAGTCAAAAATGTTTTTGACAGGTGATTAATTTGCGAGAAGCTGAACGTAAACAACAGTTGCAGAATAAAGAGATGAAGATGAAGGTTCTGGAACGGGATAACATGGTCCATGAGTTAGAGTCTGCATTGGAGCATCTGAGACTACAGTGTGACCGGAGACTAACCCTCCAGCAAAAGGAGCATGAACAGAAGATGCAGCTGTTGTTACATCATTTCAAAGGTGACCCCTGGCCCTGGGTGTCAGCTGGGGCAGGGATGTGCTGAGGAAGGAAGCCAGTCCAGAATGTGCTCTCCTGGGGGTGTGCATGCTTACTCCTTACGTGTGGCTACCTTACATTTGTGTAACCTTGGGGTCAGATGGCGTACACTTGAGGCTGTCCCTCTCCGCTCTCCAGCACTCAGGAATTCCTGTCACCCTGTTGGTTTGCTGTTGGTCTGGCTTTATGTGGAAATATAAGACAACTTCTGGCTGTCCCATGTACACATGAAGTGACAGGTCCTGTTGTAATTCCTGGTTATAGTTCTTGTTACATTTTTAGTTGATAATAAAATTTTATGCATTGAGGTTATATCACAGGTCAAATTTGATGGGCACATAATATAATAATATTATTAGTGACTGGCAGCAGTTCACCAATAGATTGTGGTGTGGAAAGAGAGCTGCCATGGCGGATGGCCTCCCATTACCTGCATACGTGGCTGCTATCCGAACAGACGCTGTGGCAACACAGTCCTTGCTAGCTGAGCCTGCTGCAGCCGCAGTTCAGGCTGCTTAGCCCTGGTGTTCACCAATACAGAGCTGCAATGGGGTGGAGGGGCTTGAAAGAAGCAGAAAATTGGAAAACATGAATTTAGGTCTCGAGGAAACAACAGTAAATTAGTTTTACAATGTTAACTAGCAACCACTTTGCCTAAGGAATAGGATTTTCCTCGACAGGGTCTCTTTGTATAGCTGCAATTGAATAGGCATTTTGTGTGCTTTGTTGAGGTGACTAGGGTTACACAGCTAGTTCATAGCTCGTGGGTACGAAGCACCCCTTATTCTCATGATACTGTGTCTCAAAAAACAAAGAAAAATCAACTTGTTTCTATAGCTACACATGCGGATTATACACGGTAGCCATCATTAAAAGTATTAACAATTTGAGAATTTTCTAACTTCAGCTGTGTCCTATGGGAAACAAAGCTGATGAGCTGTGGCTTTTGGTTGGTTGGCCTTTTTGGTGTTGGTGCTGAAGACCAGGGCCTGAGGCCTTGCATGCAAGTCGTGCATTCTCCTATTGGAATGTTGCTGATTTTAAGTAATTTTTAAAGCTAGGTGATGGTTGAGTAAGATACAAGAATAGCAGAAGAAGACTGAAAACCAATCCAGCTATTTTTATGTGTGCTGTATGAAGGGGGGCATAGGTTAGAACAATGGTACATGTTCACAGATATTAACTAGAAGTCTCCGGTACCTGGGACAGCCACCCAAAGCTCCCCGCCCCCCATTCTATAGTTTTCCTTGTTATTTGCTCTTCTAGGCTCATTTTTAATAGCTTTTCTTTTCTTTCTTTCATTGTACATTTCTTGGGCCTATAAACCCAGGCATATAACTTACCATATATCCACAGTCCCTAATGCAAGCTTGAAGTAATATATCACGTAGATGGCTGGTAGAGTTGTTTGTAAGAGGAGATACCCATTCCGGTTGTTCTTGATAAGCCTTCTCAGTAGCAGTGGCAAAAATGTTGAGTAGTGAACAGGCAGTGGCTGGTCCAGTAGGTAGAGAGGGAAATGAAGGGACTGACCCTCTGGAAAAAGTTTTATAGCCAAAAGAATCCGTACGGTGTTTGAACAAACCCCTTCAGGTAACAGACACTCGTAATGTACTTTTCTCCGACCTGTACAGTGAGTCTGAAGCTATGTTAAACTGTAATTTTGAATAATTTATTTAAAGCTAAGGTTAAATGTAAATTTTTGCTTTGTAGAGCAAGATGGAGAAGGCATTATAGAAACCTTAAAAAAATATGAAGATAAAATTCAGCAGCTGGAAAAAGATCTTTACTTCTATAAGAAAACCAGCAGAGATCTTAAGAAGAAACTGAGAGGAACTGCCCTAGGAGCATCGCCATGGCAACTGTCACTAGCAGATCGTAAGGCTTTGAGTGTTACTTGCCATCTTAACCTGCTCCCTTCCCAGACATCTGCCTAGTGCAGCCCTGGCTGTCCTGGAACTCACAGAGATCGCCTGCCTCTGCCTCCTGAGCGCTGGGATTGAAGAGTTGCACCCCCAGTGATATTTTTTTCCCTTATGGTCAAGGTTTTAATCATTATGAAAAATACTAAAATCAAATTTGAAAATGAAAATATAATATGCCCAAAGTATTGTTTTAAAAGAATATTTGAAGTCCAAATAAAGGTTGTTTCAAGTGCTATCTTGTGATAGTATAAATGTTGGGCTTAATTCTTCCTTGTGCAGTAAATTAATGAGTTGAACCTCTCCCCTTTTGTACTGGGAGTGTCGCACCTCACATGTGCTCAGCAAGTATATACTCTTGAGGATTAGCCTCAGCTCAGACTTGTGAATGTGCCCTGGAATTTATCAATATGAACGTAGCTACAAAACTGTTCATTTCACCTCAATACTAGTCATGGTTGTGGCTACAGCCTTGTTAACGCCTTCTTATTAACCAGGGAAGGAGTGTACTTGACCCTCAAACGTTAAAAAAACATGAATTTAAATACATAAGCTATGTTAAAGTAGTACATAAATTGTAGGGATGATTATTTTTATTAATTGCCTGCTATGTGGCATTGGCTTTTGCTGTTCCTGACGCTTAGCCCTTAGGGCCATGCTATCATGTAACTGTTACTTTCCTATATTATAACAAAGTAAGCCGGACAGTGATGGTGCATGCCTTTAATCCCAGCACTCAGGAGGCAGAGGCAAGAGGATCTCTGTGAGTTCAAGGCCAGCCTGGTCTACAAGAGCTAGCTAGCTCCAGGTCAGGTTCCAAAGCTACACAGAAAAACCTTGTCTCAAAAACAAACAAACAAACAAAAAAGTGAGCTTTCTGGTTACCATAAGCAACTGTACAAAGGAGGTGCAGGGTTAAGAAACCTGGCTGCTCGTGCTGTGGACCTAGGGTTCACACAGCAGCCCACGGCCACCTGGAACTCTGGCCTCACACAGACATACATGCAAACATATGTTAATAAAAAAAATTTTAAACAAGATTTTAAAGAATTTTCCAAAAGAGAATAATATAGATGAAAGTAAAAGCATGTCTCCCTAAGGTCAGTCCTAAGACATTTTAAAGACAGACCAAACTCAAAGGTATTTTCTTGTATAATAATTAAATGTACATATGTAAAATTAGCTCTTTCACAACAGAACAGTTACCATGTTCTACAAAAGCCAAAAGCTCCTGGAAGGTAATATATTGTTTTTTTTTTTTTTTAATAAGACCTCAAAATAGGGGGGCAATCAACATTTCTGAAATAAGGACCCCAAATTTCAAAGTTAGGAAGTTTGTAAAAGAAGCACTTTAGCTGATTTTTTTAAACAATAATTTGTGACTAAAGATGATATTAGACAACCGTGTTCTAGTTTATAACCCAGGGTTTAAAACAACTGATTTTGCAAAGCTTTGAGCTTCTTCTCTGGCACTACGGAAACATTGCAGAATTTATTGTCTGCCCTTTCAACCCCTCCAGACCAGCAAACAGATCTTCACATGGAATCGGGACACTAAGTCCACCCTGAGTGGTGGCTCCTAAAGTTCTGTGCGACCATTCTAATCACCTGGGCGCTTTAACAGTGGTGCCCCGCAGCGTCTGGTGAATGGAGCCAGCTCTCTTAGCAATCAGACAGACTCACAGCCAAAGCTGGGACAATCCCACGTGGCCTCCCCCATGATCATTTATTGTGTGTGCACGCGTGTGTGTGAGCGTGTGGGTCCAAGCTTGCAGCAGCAGCCAGTCAGCTCTCTCCTCCAGTAATGCAGGTCACTCTAAAGCAAGCTGCAGGTTGAGGGAGAAGCCAGATAAAGCCTGTGGGGGCTCGAGTGCCTCCAGGGCACAACCTGTGTTTAAGCTTGACTTGGCAGGACTCAAAAGTGTACTAACCCCTTGACAACACATGTTAACGTTAGCGGTGTTATCACTGCTGACTATATGGACTCCCATAGGTTTTAATATTAGATCTGTTACAACTGAAGGCTTCTGAGGTCTCAACTCTCCATTCACTAAAGGGCTGTACTCATGAAGGTGTATGTCCTGACTTCCACTCTTAACACTGGAAGCTGATGCATGTCAGACTGAAGAAAGGGGCAGAACCAGCTGGAATTAACCAGTACCAGGCCAAGCGGAAGACAGATGTGACAGGTGTCAGAGGTGGAGAGATGGCTCACGGGTCGTGCAGAGGACCCAAAGTTCAGTTCCCAGCTCGGTCATTCACCACTGCTTGTAAGTGCAGCTTCAGGGAATCTGACATTGTTGCCCCGGTGATACCCAGACAGACATGCAGGCAAAACTCTCATGCGTGAAAACGACTGACTTAACCGTTAAAAGCACCGCCTGCTCTTCCAGAGAGCCCAGGTGTGGTTCCCAGTAACCACGTGGTGGCTCACGGTCGTTTCTAACTCTTCTGTTCTCCACAGGCATCATACATACACGTTAGGTATACTCTAGAGAGTACCAAAATCATGACATGATTTTCAACGTTAGTGAGTTTAAAAAAAAAAAATCTATTACTCACATTTTAACATGTTTATAAGTAAGTCTAGATAGATTCTATTTGAAATCATTAAGCAAAAGTCTGAAAGCATTGTGTGTGTTCAGTTATATGATGTAGCTTGTTAGGATGTTGTAGTAAAAGTACCTGGCTCTGAGATGTTTGCTTTGCTTTGTTCTGTGTGGATCCTCCTTAGCTCGTGATGCTGGAGATGGCGTCTTGAACCCAGAAGAGGCGACGGGGCTTTGTGAAGAACCGAAGTGGGCATCTAGAACTGAAAATGCAAAGTTGAATGGAAGAGAAAAAGAAGTGGAGGATTCTTCAAACAGCTTAAAGACCGCAGCGCTGCCCCAGATTCTGGAAGGCAGCCCAGACTCACGTCCACTCCGGGGCTCATTAGCACCCTCCAGTGGCCAACTGTTGAGCAATGCCGATAAACCAGAGGATCATCCCTTCATACAATCTCAGAGTCCACCACCGTCCCCATTTCAGCCTGGGAAAAATACGGGGCAGCTTCAGGGTATCAAGCCTGTCAAACTGTGTCGCAGAGAATTACGCCAGATCTCTGCCTTGGAGCTGTCATTACGACGCTCCAGCCTCAGCCCAGGGGTCCGGTCGGTGACTGCTGATTCTCTTGAAGTACCTGAGGAAATCTAGTGACTTCAAAGCATAGGCATTGGACAATAAAACTTTTAATTTAGCAAATATGTAAAAAGATCGCTTTTTCTAACCAGCGTCTTCCCAGGGTACAGGAAAGGGGGGATGGTGGTACTTTTGTGTACTATAGTGTATTTTAGGGTTTATTATATAAATACATGTTTGAATGCTTGGTACACTGAACTATTTCTACTTATGTAAGTGTACTTAAGTTATTTTCTAGGCATATTTGCTTTACTTTTTAAAAGTACACCTGGAGAACAAACCAAAGACAAAAACACTCTCAAATGTATATTATTCTGTATAATATGAAGGCACGCCGTAGAAGTACATTATAGCCCTATGGATTGGAATGTTAAAGCATACCCATGTGCTGTTTTTAAGATAAACCCCCGTTATGCCAGAGTGGCCTACCCACTGTGTTTGTTCGCCAGGGTTAAGCCTGTGGGCCACGGGTGCATGGCCGTTGTTAGGACCCTCAGAGGGTTAAGTCTTAGCATGGTACCTCAGTTTCCATACTTATTTTATATTTGATAACATAACAGAATGCAGATTTTCATCGTTATCCTGCCTTACACATTTCACATTCCCTCTCATATGAAGTCAGAATTGTGAGAAATGGCTGCCGCTTCCTGAACGGGACAGGGAATGACCACAGAGTAATATGAAACATCCCAGCATTCTAAGGAAGATGCCACTCATGAGCGGTGTGGCCTCGTGAGCACATGCATCCATCGAGAGGCTGAAAGCTGAGACATGACAGCCGTGGTGTCCAGCTCAGCAGGCTTGATGGCACTGGGGTGCAAATATGCACATGAAATCTTGTTAACCCTTTAAGTTTTCCTGATTCAAATAAATGAGCAATTAGTTCTTTCCTACCATATTTGTCTATGATGGCCACCATCTCATTATACTGCCCTGAAGTATTTCTTTTCCAAACTTTCACATGTAAGCCAGAGTTCTTTTTTGGTTTTGGTTTTGGTTTTTTTGTTGTTGGTTTTTGGGTTTTGGTTTTTTGTTTGTTTTTTGTTTTTTTGTTGTTGTTTTGTTTTGGACTAATTAAAGTTATATGGAGCAAGTAGAAAAACACCTTACAGATGCTTACTGAGACCCCACTAAATCTCTCCCCACCTACTACTCCCTTGCTTAGTTTTTAAAGTGTCTGTCTATCTGTCTGTGCACACACACACACACACACACACACATACAGACACACACACACACACACACACACGTGCGCATACACTATATCATATATTAGTCTCATGGCAAAAAGTCAGTGCCTTCATCTGAACGTAAATTGTATATTAAACTGGGTGTGGGCACACTTTACTCCCAGGACTCTGGAGGCTGAGGCAGGGGGATCTCAGTCTACCTGGTGGACAACATGAACTGTAGGACAGCCGACACTACATAGAGAGACCCTGTTTCAACAAACAAAATTATGTATTAGTAAACGTCTTCATTAACGAAGTTGCTAATTGTAAATCCCTTTAAGATTAAGTAACGTGCTGTGCCTTAGTAATTCATACAATTGTATTTTGATGCAAGAATCCCTTGCATTTACTTTACCTGTGGAAATATAAACCCTGTTTTCACTAACAAAGCAATAGAAGTTACATAAAACTACAGTGATTCCGTCAGATAATACCAATGTGAATTGATCGCCAAGTAACGAAAATGTGTGATGTGATGGGAGATGTCATTCTGTAAATATGTTTCTCTTATTGTTTAATGAATAAAGCACTGTTGGCCAATAGGAAAGGAAGATAGGCGGGACTAGGAGACGAGGAGGAAAGAGGAAGTAACTGGGAGGAGTCAGCATGGAGAGACTGGAGAGAGCAGAGCCGGCCCCTTTCCTGGTAAGATAAGACCACGTGGAAATACATAGATTAATAGAAATGGGTTAATATTTAAGACAGAGCTAGCCAACAAGAAACTAGTAACTGGCCAACAGCATTATATCAAATGCAGAGTCTCGGTGTGTTATTTGGGGCTGGCGTGGTGGCGGGGTCAGACCGGCGGGGGGAAAACCTACTCATAACAGGTTTGCTTCCCCCATTTTTGTTAAACATTTAATTTGTATCTTGTATGTGCTTTGACAGATTTGATTCACATACTCAGGCATATGTAAGTAATGTCCCAAACATGTAATTTATGTGTGAGCAATCCATTCTAGTTGGGTTAGTATGCTTATAGAGTACATCCTCCCCAGTGCAAACCCAACTCCTTTCCCCCTGGGGTGTGTGCACACATTCACTATGTATGCGCCTGTGGAGGCCAGAGAACCAAGTTGGTACTTTCCACATAATTTTTGGAAAAGGGTTTCTCATGGAACCTAGTCACTATTTAGACTAGGCTGGCTAGCCATCAAGATCTCAAGAGCATAGGTTTCTCTGCCCACCCTTTCCCCCAAAGTACTGGGTTAAAGTGAGGTGCCACACCCCTGGCTTTACGTGGCTGTTTGGGATCTGAACTCTGGTTCTCACATGTAAACAGCAAGCGCTTTACCCCTGAGCACCTCCCCAGCCTGGCTTTCTTGGTAGAAAATGGGTTTGGGTTTTTTGTTGTTGTTGTTTCTTTTTGTTGTTGTTGTTGTTGTTTTGTTTGTTTTCAAGACAGGGTTTCTCTGTGTAGCCCTGGCTGTCCTGGGACTCACTCTGTAAACCAGGCTGGCCTCAAACTCAGAGATCCACCTGCCTCCCTACCTGGATTAAGGGCATGCACCACCACTGCCCGTCTATACAAAACAGGTTGTTGTTGTTCATTTTATTCTTACATTTTCCACATGCAACAGAGTATTTAAAGGGACTCGGTCTGTCTCTGAGTGTTCTTCCCTTCCCTAACCAGAGTGTTACTAGGAGAGGGTTGTAAGTCTGGAGCCATGGGTAATAACAGCACTGATGAAGGGATTTTCACACCCGGTCCTGTGCTGGGGTCACCGCAGGGCTGCGGGCACGCTGTGCTCACAGCCACCCATGCTGCTCCGGTTTGATTTCTACCTGATGTGAGTCCTTGGGTCCCTCACTCACTCATTCGCTTATGAACTTGGGGTTCAAAGAGTCAGCAGACACATACCATGACTTTCAGGGACATGGACTTTAACTTCTTTAGCTATTGCAGTATTTATAATACCCATGGCAATAAAGGTTCGCTTTCATTTAAGAACAGGTGCCTTGGGTGACTGGTTATAATGGAACCCGACCGCCAGTGAGGGCCTTCCTGGCACAGGTCCTCAAACACGCAGGGATAACACGCAGGGGTCCAAGTAGAAGGTCATTCATATGACAATTCTTAAAACACCATGTGCGTTTTACATTAAAACTGTAAGAAGCCATGGACTGTCTTCATTTTGATGACCGTCTCTCGAGCACTGAGTACGCACTGGTTTTGAGCCTGTACGGACTGTAGTTTACAAGTTCGAGCACATCTACCCCACGTACCCAGCAGACAGTGTTTCACAGTGTGCTGCTGTAACAACTGACTGTTCAAATTCTCTACAGAAATCCATGCCTCACACACGCAGGGGCCCCTCCTTATTACCGTCTCAGGATGAGCTGCTCACGCCCACCAGATACTTACCAAAAACGCTGTTTATGGTTATGCCATGCTTTGAATTGAACCCAGCATGAGAGGAATCAGAACAAAGGAAGATATAAAAAAAGAAAACCTTACATTACTGTGTCAGCTTTTAATGTCTCCAGTAGTTTTCATTTGCCCCCACTCCAGACAATTTTATTAGAACTTAAAAGAAACTCCCCCCTCCAGGACAGGAAAGCTGAAGTGTGTCTTTTAATATTTGTTATAGGGATGCCTTTGGAATGGGGCCCCAGACCTTAGCACCACTGACTCTGTGATGGACGTGCCATTCGGGCTGTAAGACTTAGCACGCAGACAGCACTACCAGCAAAAATTTGTCAAAGGTCTAATCACCAGAATCCACAGTTGTAGGATGCAACTCTCTAAATGTAATGTACTAACCCTTGCTTTTGACTTCTGCAGTTAGCTCCGCTTCTGGCTAACTCTTCTTGTTATCTGAAGCGTGACAACCCACCATATGGTTTTTGTGCCTCAAAGCTCGACCTGAGAAAGGCTCGGGGTTACACTAGGATCCCAAACCCCCAGTGCAGTCACCAGCCAGCTAACAAAGACTTTCTGTTGGCTTAAACCCATGTCTGAGCAGTCTTCTCTGGTGGATCCCGAACAACAGTCCTCAATGACAGAGCTGCCTTTATCTGGAGTGGTGGCAATATAATCTGAACCCAGAGATACTAAAGTAGAAGTAGGCGCTATATTCTGCTGGCTAATTTTAACACAGAGGTCTCTAATGGGTCATCACTACGTTGCTTTAAGAGAGACAGAACCATTTCATAGACGTCATTCTAATGTGTAAGATCCATTATGCTCAAGCACTAGAGCCACAGTAAGAGGTTAAAAACCTTTTAAAACTGCTTGTCATTAAAGCAGAACTCAGGGAACTGCCTTAAAACCACTCGTTTTATGTTCTAAGTGTGTTACAGTATATATCAGGAGCGGTCTTTGCGGGGCTGCAATCGGAGCCAGCCGAGCGGCCCCAAGTCCGTACCTGAGTGGGGGAGTGTGGATGAGGGAAAGGCTATAGATAATAAAGAGAGAGAGACAGAATAAAGGTCAGGAGGGCAGATCAGTCAATACTGAAATGCCACGAGTTTATTTTTCACCACTCTTATATACCTTAACCAAAAAGGGGAACACAGTATCATGTATACAGAACAAACAGACTTTTCTTCCTCCCTTATTCTAAGGGTTCAGTAACCACACCTTAGCTCCAACTTCTTGTTCCCTGGCCTTGAGATCAGGAGTAGCCACACCTCAGATTCAGGTCTGTTGTTATTTAGACTAAGATGGAGGAAACTTCCTTCTGTAGCCACACCTTTGACCTTTAGGTCTTGTGACTTGCTGACAGCTTTGAACTCTCTGTCCTTGTGCCAAGATGGAGCACAGCCATCTTTATGGGCACCCACAAGTGTATACAAAATATATACGCTTTTTTCAAATCCAGATAGGTAAATATTGTTCATTT